TCTTATTAAAATGTAAGCCAATTTTTCCCCAATTGATATGACCAGGTTTCTTGAAAATTCCTGAAATCAAGATTGCCTTCTCCCCACAGAGATGGCTAGACAGAAGAAAGTTGCCTGCTTCCATTACTACAATCTCAGTGAATCAAAGATATTTTAAAGGCAAATTGTTTGTTGAAAAACTCTAGTTTTTTCTTAAATACAAAAACTTTCCGAGCAGTGGGCAATTGTGTTTATCTGGGGGAATCCCTGGAATTCCTTCCCTCCATAGATCCTCCTTTAAGTCAAGCTTATGGGGTGGGGTCTTGATAGACATCTGATGATCTATAGCCTGGAAATCTCCTATCCAAATATTGAGCAGGCCAGGTCTGAGTTTGAGAACATCAGCCAACTGCCGCCACCTGCAGGACTGAGAAATCAATTGGGAAGGTGAAAGAACATTTCAAGAGAAGAAAAGGCCATACTCTTGCCAAGAAAACAGCATAGTCTTCAGATGAGTTCAGCTCAAATGTATCTTTATCCATTCCTTAATAAGCTTCCAGAGGAATCTTGTTTCCACTGTCCATGTTCCTCTACAAAGGTAAAGACTGGCTTCGCTAAATTCTCAAATGCATCTTGTTAACATGGCAAATGTGTATCATTGCACAGAATCAATGTTGTACGGAACCTGGTGTGCAATCCAGAAGTAAGCTCTGATGTAGCCATTAAGGACAGGGAATATAATTAATGCTAGAAACTAGTGACACTCTAATAAGGACTGCAGAAGCAGAAAATACAGCTTCAGCCTTGGGCATTTTGGCCTTCATTAACAGTAAAACAAGGCAGTGAAGGACAGGAAGGCCTGGCGCAATATGGTTCATGGGGTCACGAAGAGTTGGACATGACTAAACAACAACAACAATAAAACAAAGATGACCTTCACCTTTCTAGCTCTCATGGTGTGGGTGGAGAATTTGACACTAATTCACTACCCTGTATCAGTACCTCACACTTAAAAGAGAATAATTCTCTAAGAAAATTACTTTCAGTGCAGTGTTATATTCTGTCACTTGATACAACTTTTAAAAATGCATTGACCCACACATGGAAATAGTTTTTGTTTTGAAGGTTTTCATTTTTGGGAATTCATATTTTCTGCATGACTGGCTAAAAAATAAAGCTCTGGAAAATGGAGTGAGGGAGGAGAGGAACCCTAAAAAAGAACTTGCCATTGTGAGTCATGGTCTCATCACCTCTCCTCTGGACCACTGCAGTACACTCTACAGAGGGCTGCCTCCAAAGACCAGCAAGAAGTCAAGGCAAAATGCAGCAGCCGCTTTGCTAAGCAACACTTTGTGTGTGTTATACCTGGACTTCAGGACCTGCGTTGGCTCCCATAGGTTTCCAGGGGCAATTCAAAGTGCTGATTTTGACCTAAATGGTCTTATATGGCTTGGAAGCTGGATATCTGCCTTCTCCAGCCACAATCAACCCATCTGACATGGTTGTCCCAGAAAAGGCTGCTGCTTGTTCCTCCCTTCTGTAAGTATTCTCAGAATTAGTGTCTGCCCTTTGGAATAGCCTCCTTGCCAGATTTGCTCCTACTTTGATAGTAGGATAATGGATTAAACTTCAGGTTCTTACGTTTCTCTACAGCAGTATTTCCCAACCTGACATTGTGATGTGTGGACTTCAACTCCCCAAATCCCCCAGCCAATATGTCCATTGCTAGGAATTCTGGGAGTTGAAGTTCACATGTCTCAAAGTTGCCCAAGTTGGGAAACACTGATCTATAGTTTATATGGAGCTTTTATAATGGGCTCTGGGAGATAAAATTCAGCTTGTTGCCTTTTAGGAAAATGTTTCTGTCTGGACCTGCTCACAGGGCCCAAATCTTCCCCTGTCTTGAAAAGTTTTGTTAGATCAGTGGGTCTCAACTTATCTTCTACCCCTTCTGTTTCCAGCCTGACTAATCTCTTGTTCCATCGATGAGCGTAAGGCAGGATTGCGCAAGCCATGAGCCTGCGGGACACCTCCCCAAAATATGCCCCTCCAGGACAAAGAAGGCCAGTACAAAAACCACCACCAATTTCATGTATTGATGGGAATAAGCAAGCATGTGATTCTTCATGATTTTTTTCCCATCTATGTAATGACTTCTCCTTTCATCACATCCAACGTTATAGTACTGTGGCCTCTTTCAGCTGTCTCCCCTTGTCACCTCTGTGGTGAGGAAATTCTTGCTTGTACGACCAAAGTGTGCTTTTGCATTCAGCAATTGTGGTGATATCATCCTCATCTTGGTACTAGAAGTGGAACACTGTAGGTCAGCAATCCAAAATCTAGCCTGGAACCATAAGGAGAAAGAGCAGCTGTCTGTTAACCCTCTTTATTCCCTGATTGGGAGAACAGCAGCTGAGAGAGGATGTGCTCCTTTCCTCTTTCAAACTACTGTAAAAGGTTATTTGATTTTAACCATCTGTTATTATGCCTGGGATCAAGTGTGTTTCATCTGCTGAGACTGGCTCTTTTCGACCAGTATCAAAGGCTCGGGGGCTTTCTCCATTCAGTAGCTGCCTCGCCTAACTCTCAAAAGCTGTGTAGCATAAATGCAGCGGAAAATCCACCTATAACAGATTGGCCAGAATGAGGGAGGGCCTTTGCCAGGTTATTTGGCCGCATTGCATGTAACATCTTCCCTCTCATGGTTTGATCTATTCTTACTGTTTTAATGGGTTTGCAAAATATTTTAATTCCTGGTTTTATTGTACACCACCCGGAGTCACTTTGTGGGGGATGGGCAGCCATATACATTTGACAAAATTAAATTGAATTAAATCTTGGAAAAGGAAGACACCACCTTTATGGAGATCTTCTCTGTCCTGGAAGCCCCAATCCCAATGGGCAGGGGGGATGTTACTTCTTAGCCCTCCTCTGGGGCTGTATTAGCCTGTCAGGATTGGTTGAGAAATCCCCTCTGTTCCCTAATAAGCTCAGGCCAGCATTTATATTATTTTCCATTCCCTTTTATCTTCACATCTCTATTTTACCTTTGCAAGCAACCCAGTAAGACGGTGCAGAAACAGTGGGAGGCCCAGGATCACCCAGGGAGTTTCATGGCTTAGAGATGAGGATGTGGAGAAACATTTTCTGAAGGCACAGCAGACCTGAGTTTTCTCCAAACGGGACTGAAGTAACCTCCTGAGAAACAGGTTAACAAGGTAGAAAACCCATCAATGCTCTCTGCTAGGTCAGTCAGACTGATGGCTTAGTTTTATCTGGAAGAACAGTATTGCCTTCCAGCACATTTTTTTTTTCAAGCTAGTGGCTTACAAGGAAATCAAGAGAAAACAATGAGAATCAGGAGGGCTTCTAACATATTAAGACTGTTTGCCACTTATTTGTATCCTAGCGAATAAAAGCTGGATGAATGAAAATTCTCAGGTTACCAAGAATGGCCCATATATTTAGACAGCTGGGCAGAAATTTAAGCAGGGGACTGTGATAGCTGAAGCAAAGCAGTGAGGACCACTTTGAGCCACAGGTGCCTTGGCCAGGGAGAGCTGGTGGCGTTTCTTCTTTGGGGTGTGCAATGCCTCAAATTCAAAGACAAAAGGGTGCTTCCGGTGCACTCATGTAGCCTCCGTGTGCAGCTTCTTAAAGCAGCTGCTTCATCTTTTCCTGGGGCTCTCCACAGCTGCACTGCAATCCAGATCCTGGTGTTTGGTTTAAGGCAGTGTTGTCCAAACTTGGCCACTTTAAGATGAGTGGACTTCAACTC